TTAAGCAATGAAGAAGATTTGAAGAAATTTCAAAACGAATCGGTAAGCTAGGATCACTTTTCCTAAATCAAAATCTGAATTTTCTAGATTTTAAGACGACCATAAAATCTTGTCATGATATTGTCTTACTCTATAAATTGGTGTGATATTTGCTCTTGGAATAATTCTTGTCAACAGTGCTTAGATACTCTGGTACGAGTTCAAAATGAACTACAGCGGTTGTCTACGAAATATTATCGAATATCAGAAACATGGAAAAAGAGTAAGTTTAGTCTATATGATTCAATAATTATAGGAATACAGTGTGCAAGTAAAAATAGTCTTTCACTTGGTGTGAGGGGGTGGGTCAATTTAGTATCAAATGGAGTGTGATTTAGATTACTATTTATTTGAATCATGCTGTAATTCTTTCTTTAGTAAAGGAGCTGGAGAACTATCTATCCACAGAGTTCCTGGAGAGAGTTGCATTAAGTGATGACGTCAAGGCAGATATCATCATAGCAGGTGACTATACATGGAATATTTGATCTTATGTTGCTAAGGTTTTTGTTCGAGGGCCTAATTTACAAACATATTCATGCAATGTCTTAATCATTGAAGCATGGATGCACTGCTTTTCGCCAATGAAACCCAGGTCTGATTTCCATGCAGGCTTTGGGGAAGCACCGGTGGCGTGCGCTGCAAATGCACCACCTCTCACCAATGTGGCCCGAGTTCGAGTCCTGCCGATCTCGATGTCGTATGTGGGTAGAGTTGTTTGTTGGTTCTCTCCTGTGCTTTGAGGGTTTTTCTCCGGGTTCTCCGGTTTTCCTCCCTCCTCAAAAATCAACTTCTAAATTCTAATTCCATATCTGGGCTTTCACTTAGTTTGGAGCCTAGCTCTGTTGTGATTGTCCCACGCTGTGATACAACAGCGATATGCTTCATAGGCTCAATGTCATATGTGAGTAAATGTAGAGTAACTTGTTGGTTCTCTCCATTGCTTTAAGGGTTTTCTCAAGGTTCTCTGGTTTCCTCCCTGTAAAGCTTGAATACAAGCCTCAGATTCAGGAGACTGAGCGAACACTTGCTGCATGTATTATTATTTTTTAACATTCGATTTACCAATACTATTGTATAAAATCCAAGGTGAAAGCCAGTTGCAATCATGCTGTGGAAAGCTTCATGAAATCGAGGACCTCAAAAAAATTGTGAGCACAGAACCACTGAAAGGTATTATTATTATATATATTATATTATTATTATTATTATTACTTTTTTACCATTTTCCATTTTTTACTGCTTAATCTAACAATCTCTTTGATTTCATTTTCCTCTAAATATTTTATTGTATTCATTTTTCCCTTTCCCATTTATGCCATTTTTCATTTACCTTTATTCCCATTTGTTGTGATATCCAGACTATCATCCTTTCATACTTTATCTTCAGTTGTTGGAATTAATTGCTATCAT